CCGATGAGTATTAAGAAAGTTATGATCGTTTAAAGTGAAACACTCAAAACGCTAAGAACTTTCCGGACAACCTAATATAAACCGGAAGTTGTATGTGTGTATGTGTATGTCTCTGTGACCGCTCAAAAACCGAAGGCTGTGAAAATTCGTTTCAAGAGAACTGATTGTGCTTGGAATAGACGTGGCAGCCCAGCATTTGCAGAGCACACACAACGTCACCTAAGCTCCGCCCACAATGGGCGGGGCGTTCGCCGAAGTGGACGAAGCCGAGGATAAAATTCCTCAAAACGCATCCGGAGCAGCCCAGGAAACGGTGAATATGAGTGAAACTGAGCAAAGGGTAGGTAGATGAATTGAGAGAGAGACACCCGTAAGCAGTATGTTGTGTACCAAACGGTTGAGGGTCCCTGCGATAGCTGATCCTGAAAATCCTTAACACTAAAGAGCATACCCTATAGATTCTCCTCAGGGGGATATATACAACGAATGAAACGGTAAAGTCGGTAGTTTTCGAAAAATATTTTTTGACGAACACTCTACACTTGAAAAGCTCTGGGGCAATGCCCACTTCACACGGAAGGAGGATCGCCCGACGAAGCCGGGCGATCCTCCGACCGGTATTGTTTACGCTATAAAACTACCTCATTGGTACAGACATTACTTCAAAACCCTGCTAGGATTCATCCTCTCGTCACACTTTGTTCTTTCATTAATTTTCCATAACGCTTGATGCAGTGGAGGTCGACGACCTCGCTTCATGGCCAGCGATTGAGATCTGGAGCAAGGCGCGGAGGAGGACGTCCCAGCGCCACTCAGATTGGAATCAAAGCAGCTGGAGGATCTGCAAACAGAAGTTGTGTTTCGAAGGTTTCTTGATTTTAGCGCAGGCACATAGAACCCATCCACAGCGTTCCTTTCTTTCTCAGAAAGCTAAAAGCATCCTTGCACAGCCAGCCATTCATTTCTTTCTTCCAGTCTTGCTCCAGAGAACATTGTTTTCTTCCAAACGCCCTCATGTTTTTCCAGATTCTTTTTTGTCAAGCTTGTGAAGATTCCTAATGTTGATTGGCAAATGTGCCCAGTAGTGCAAAAACAGTGAAAAGACGGAGCATAATTGTGGGAAAACAACGAAGCGGGGGCTTTATTTCTACGCTTTACCGCGGCGGTGAACGAGCGAAACGGCTGCCCCTACTTCGGACGAGTCTACCGGTGTGAAACGTACTGCTGGCTTTTTGAATACGTCGCCGCTCTACGCTACACATTACACGTAGGCAAGGGCGGTTCATACACGTGGGTAAGGGCGGTCCACAACGGCGCGTCCACGCGGTGTGACCCTACACGTCCAATAGTAGGCCGGCGGGCAGTCGTTGCGGTATTTTGTTGCTCGATAAGGCGTTACAAGGAGTACCTTCTTTAGGAAAAATAGGAAAAAAAGGCTCTGCTCAGGATCACGGAATTCTGTTGTTGTATACTTTTAGCGCAGCGTCACACGACCCCATTCCCTAAACACCAAAACTGGATATTTTTGCGAAGAAACTAAACAAGCGAACAAGTAATCAACAAACTCGCTCAAACGCTCATATTCGAACTTCGAGCAGAAAAAAACGAAACATAAAGAAGTGATCCCGACGCGGTGTTTACCTTTAAAAAGCCGTGGAACGTAACGCCGCGTGGATGGGAGATCTAGAAAAAACCAAAAACTAGGAACGTAGAATCGGAATTGTGAAACAAGCGATGAAAAAGATATACGGATTGGAGAGACGTACTAGAACTTGAGATTGAAGACGGAAATGGTCATCTATGTAACTTTATATTTATCTTTAAAGAGCCGCGCGAACGGGAACCGTAGAACTGAAATAGCGAAACAAGATCTTGGAACTGGAAAGGGGACCAAGAAAGGTGAACCTCTATGCAATATACTATTCATCTTTAAAGAGCCACGCAAACAAGGATCGCAGAATTGAATTGCGAAACAGGAAATTGAAGTAATATACGGGATGGAGAGTCGTATTTTTCGCGTTGTTAGGCTGCGACCTTGATCATTTGTATGTATAACCTCTGGCCACACCACGATCTGCTTTACACTCCGTCATTTTGGGCTATATGCTCATATAAGGGTCCTAGTTAACAAGGGTCGCCTGCTAGAAGTTTTGACGGTTTGTCTTGCTCTTTTCTTTACTAGGACCTCGCTCACCACATGATCTACTGCTTCTTAGCCCTAAATCCTGTAGATGGTGTGCACTCACCAAGCTCAATATATGGGCCCTTCGCATGTGGAGGTGGAGAGTAGGCGTCTAGGTGCCTCGTCTCCACTCGAAATCGCATGGATGGATTCCCCGGTCAGGGGAGTGCACAAGGACAGATCGCCTCTGAACAGCCTGAAGCTTTGTTCGCTGCGGATGACGGGGCGTATCATTGAAGCTGGGTTTGGCCAGCTCGTTCTCCATCAGGTGTTGAAGAGCATAAGCGACAGTAATTGGTGGGGAACGACTGATAGCAGCAACGGTGTTACGCAGTCTTGTGGTCCCACACTGTTCAAACTCATATCTTCGCCATTGTAGCGCCTCGGAACTGAGCAGTGATCGAACTTTGAGAGATTTATTTCACAGTCAGTGTTTGTGCATCACAAATAAAGTAGTTAACAACATGAGAATTCTGGACCAGTGATTCATTTGGTTATAGATATTATACTCTGTTGTAATAAGAAGTGAAGTACAACCGGCATCAGAGTGGAAAGAGGTAATACAAATCAAAATGCATTATGTCTAGGAATACTATCATAAATATATACATGTTATTTGAAATAACTCAAAACAGATGTTCGATTTCCTCGGACAAAAAGCGTTGGCGGAAGATTTCGGCTCATCATTTCCAACCATGACATGTACAGAGAAGCTGACGTGACAGATCGGCGAGGAATCGGTAGGGTCCTGAGATTAACAGCTTTCAGTACAAGAGCGAGAAAAGGGAGCATGACTGAGTTAGGGCCCAAGAGTCCTATGTAACTGGACATTTTAGGGTGAAGAGGGGGATAAAAAGTAGCACCACATACATGGGCGCTGATTCTAGCCCCGCATCGAATCTTTGATCGAGAAACCGAGCCCTTGTACCCTACGGATTATGGCAGATGTTGTCCATCTTATCCGGGAGATTTTTTTTCCCTTTTTTATCCTAAAAAAACCACACAGAGTAGACATAGTGAGCGGGTGTTTTGCTATCTCCAATTTCTTGACGTGTCTCCTATTAGCCTGTCTTGCAAAGGTCCAATTTTTTTCTCATCGCCGAATATTATGAAGACCACTGCGCGGTTTTCTCAATGGTGAGTCTTCTCAGTATGCTAGGAAGCAGGTAGAAGATGATGGCATTTCCACTTATCAAGCATGGCAGAGAAATTAGAAGCCGCACGATACCATGCATTTTTCCGACTTCTATCCGCTGCTGCCCCATACCGCCACGCCCATACGCCATCACGGTCAGGCCATACGCCTATCGCTTGCCCTACCTTCACGCCATACGCCATACGGTCAGCCATACGCCGTATCGTAGCCATATGCGTTACTCACCAGCACCTCTAGGGCTTGTCGAATGGCATATGACGCGCATATCGCGTATAAATTAGCGCACGGTAACGCAAGAAAGATTGAGCTCTCATACATGTCTACCCCTACTGCCACACACTTTTAAATGACGGTAATTCTACCCGATCAAATGGCTTTTTCTCAACTCTACCCGCATGTGAATGATGCCTGCCCACCTCGTCAGCGCGAAGCATACATTTCCCAGATAATCGTACAGTGTATTTGGAAGCTGGACCGAAGCTTCCTTGGCCACCAAGTGAAGTTTCTCTTTTGAACCGTTCTGCTCACATGACCCTATCGCGATACCTGCCTTCGTGGAAGGCTAAAGACCTACTATGCTAGAAAATTCTGTCAAATATGCAATGAAATCACGTACACTATGACAAGATCTGCATTGCTACTATGCTGATGAAGCAGTTCCTTCGTTCGTAGGTAACGACTGGTTTTTTGATGAAGATTTTGCATTTCTTCCTGGAAGCAGTCTACATGAGCTGAGTTTCATTGTGGTTCTGCGGACTCGAAGAAGCCCGGCGCACAGCGCTCAAATAATGTAGCGACATTCGCGTAAAGGATTACGAAGATAGTGAGAATAGATCGAACATACATCATTGATAAGGCCTCGCTTCTCTGCTCCACCATCCTTGAACGGCGCCACCAGCTCTCGGAACTCTTCTACTCTAGAAAAACCTCATGTGTTAAACAGGGAGTATTTCAAACTATAAATAATTCATACGTTGCTTTGTCCGGTGGGAGATCGAACCCGTTAATAACGGTGAGGTCAGAGCAGTCGACGCGGAATGCTCGTAACAAGGTCGCCATGTGTTTCTGCTCCATCGCCACACGATCAGTT